ACTTTTATACACTTCTATCGTTTTACTTTTACAGAACATAATATATGTTAGATTCCCATAATTCACGACGTTGTTTACTTTTATACACTTCTATCGTTTTACTTTTACAGAACATAATATATGTTAGATTCCCGTAATTCACGACGTTGTTGACTTTTATACACTTCTATTTTACGGATTTATTTGCCTGACATAATTATGCATGCATAACCGTCACATTTTATTGAAGAACATACTGGAGGGCGTCGGGATATTTTTAGAAGGATAGTAGAAATTCCTAAAAAAATCAGCCTTTTTGGATTGAGAATGACATTATATTTATATTAACCGTTACACTCTTATTTTGTGATTTGCTTAAATCTTATACCCACGTGTGCGTAATTCATGTGCAGATACAGTATATAAATAGATTCACTAATATTAAAGAAATCTTTTTGTAGTTTCAAGCTTTTTATTCTTTAATACAAAACTTCACTGTACAATAATCATATTACATACAGTCTTTAATATTCAGTATATTAAATCATAACATTGAGGCAACGTTTCCAAATAAAACAATCAACTTCACTGTGATATGATTTATTAATTCTATCTGAAGAATAATACTTTACAAAGATGAAAGTAAGTCCAGGTTTTAGGTTTATCAAACATCATCGGTAGGTTAACCACCAAATGTGGAATATCAAAAGTTTTATGATGTTTCACTACCAAATTCCAGTGTTTACGAAACCGACCTAACGTATGCCGTGGGTAAGTTCTACAGATGTGTACATCTCGTATTTCAAATATATCAACAAAAACGCCAGTATAAGCCCACATTGAGCGTTGCTGTACCTGGTTTTATCTTGGATAACTCCTAGCTACCAGCAAGTAGGTTCTGGTTTCAGTCTCCCTCAACACAATGCTGTATCTTTGTGGAACCAAGAGGAAAACCTAAAGAAACAAGAAAACAATTTGTAACTACCAAACAACAAATACGAATTTCGTGTCTTCAAACTTCTAATATCGCACATTTATTCAAAATCATATATATTTAGGTATATATATATATTTCATCTGATTATTCTTTAGTTACTTTGCCCCCCAGTGGCACAAAGGTATGTCTGAGGCCTCACAACGCTAGAAACTGGGTTTCGATACCCATGGTGGGCTGAACACAAATAGCCCATTGTGTAGCTTTGTGGTTAACTTCAAACAACTAAAATACAGTTTAATATTTCGGCTAAACATACTTATTGTCTGAGAAGTTCGTTAAAAGATACAAGACAGAGATTTTTCACTTGAAAAATGCCCATAGTTACATACCCGAGATAATTAAACACGCGTGCCTTAGAAACGCTGTAACAAGCCACAAACCAGGAAAAGTATAAAGCTGCTATTTTTTCACATAGAAAATTATACTTTCCAAAATTATATTCTAAAGAATGGGTGCGAAAAATTCTCTAGCTACCTGTCCTGGACAAGCAAAAATTGGCTGGAGACATGTGGATTTAAAAAGTCGGTTTCTTGACACCAACCAACTTTTAACAAACATCATACAGGGGAGGAGGAGCTATACTTCAAAGTAAGCAACTTGACAATCATTGGGTAGGGAAGTTTCGATATTTACTGGTTTACGAAGAGTACGGTGTTAAAGCCACACATGAAGTTTGAATACAGAGATTTAAAAATACTTCTCGTGTAACTTGAAACCTAGGAATATTTTGTTGCTTCTTGGAACGTTTTCCTTTTGAAAGCTGCTGAAATATTTATCTGCTCCAAGAAGCCGGGTAATGACGTACTACAGAGGGCGGCCTACAGCACATCGTGGGCAATAAAACGTACCAAAGGGAAAAAAATCACAAAGATAAATACATTGGTGAATATAAAACAAGTTCAAATTTGTTGAATAACTTATGGGTCAATATTAAATAAACCTAATCAGATATGTATCTTTCATTAACATGAAACAATATCATTAATATACAATGTACTCAATTTATACAAATTCTACACCATATCAGTTTGAAAAATAGCTTCGAATCTGTTGACTTCAGTAGAACAAACGATCTTATGAAGAAGCAAGTACTTTATGAATTTTACTTACCCCAGAGGACAAGCAAATCCGTTTTTTTATTCTCTCAGCCTGATTAAGATAACCAAATATTTTATTTGGTTTGTAATAATCATGTAATGAATAATTCAATATTGTAAAGCTCTGATGTGTTAAATAACTTTACGTATATATCTTCAGAAAAAAAAAGGAAGAGAGAATAAATCATTATGTTAGAGGCAAGGGCTTTAATCAAAATAAATTCCCTAGTGATCTTATAAGCGATTTAGCACGGCGTAATGAACGACATAAAATAAACAGAACAAGTTTAGACATGTACAAAAGCCTTAAGATGTATAATAGTCATCCAGTATTTGATGGCTGTCATGGTTTGAACGTCTCATCTTATAATAGATCTTCATGTAGATAAAAAACAGCAAAAAACAAAGCGAGTTCTATTCAGTTTGCTGACGAAAATGCGCATAATTTCTAACATACATTTTAGGGTTGCATGTATTTCTTTATCGATGCTATTTTGCGTTTTTAATGCACATTTTCCACTCACTGTTGTTAGACTAATTGTATGATTTTGTTTTATAACTTATGTAAAATAAATAATCTCGTTTATACGTACAACTAATGCAATTCTTAGAGATTCATAATATTACTGCATTATTTGTTTAGGAGCACGTTGATTATACATCAATCAACCACTTAAATTGAATCACCTGCAATTTAATACAAAAAATACTGAGTAAAGTACAAAAGTTTAGCGATTCTTTGTTTGATCCAGAATTTCGCACTAGCCATATACAATTTTAAAATTATAGACTAGATGAAGGGTACCTAGTCAACAGCACGTTGGCTACTCTTGTCTGATTAAATAGTAGGATTTATTCGTCAGTCGTATTACACACCCACAACTCCAAAGTCCGCCGAATTAATACTACGAACGCAATTTAACAAAATGAGTCCTATGTTTAAAATCATACCAATGAAAAATATTTATTTTAACTGCTAATTAGTGAGGCGGAACGCAAATTAATATTAAAGAGTTAAGTAGTTAAAGATTTAATAACTGCACTGATCGACATCAAATCACATTACAATTTTTACATATTTTATTCCAAACAGTGTTACTGGTGTGAGGTATCTGTTCTACAGGAGTGTTTAATTTACAAATATGATTATTATTTGACGAGTTAGCACTGATATTATAATAGCAAGTTACGAATAGAATATCCACAGCGTTTTTGATTTAAAAATACCACTGTACTACACGTCCACGTTGTAAGCGCTACTCTACGATAATTAAAAGGGAATTTATCCAGTTGGAATTATAAGATGTTAAAGGTGTTTCCGTCTTCTCTAATATATTGGGTATTATCGATCAATATACTGGAAAATTTAATTTCACTAATTCCTAAATGAAAATAATTAAGACATTGATGTCATTTCTCAAATTAAATTAATGTATAATAATAATAATAATAATAAAACAGGTTAAACTTAATCCTTTAAGCACTTTCAGGACATGAAGAATATGAATGTAAACATATAATGTTATACTATTATATATTTAATCAACAACGCACTAACACAGAAGTAATGTTTTAATAATTGCCAATATATTGGCAGTTTCTTTTCAAGTAAGTTTACACTCGAGCGTATTAATACATTTTAAAATAACAGCTGTAGATTTAAGCCTTTTTTTTTCTCTAAAACTAAAATATAATGAGTTTTATTATGAAGTAAAGATCTTACAAAATAAATGAATTAGTGTTGTACAAGTTCAAATATTCACTAATGTAAGATAGCTTCAAATCTTCGCCAAGTTGTGATGTTACTACAGGAAAGTTCTGTTGAAGCTAGATTGACACACCAAACAACAAAGATGGAAGCACGCTTTTTTTTCTGTATTTTTGTTTTCTTTTTAACATACAGCGTCGTAATTTTTATGGAAAGCACCGTGGAAGTACTTACTTTCATGTTTTTGATTAACTATACCATATAAGTTAACTGGCTGAATTATTAAGACTTTCCCTGCCCCTTCACCACACATTTGTAGATCATGTAGATGTGTAAACTGTCATATGGTAGTCAGCAGTCAGTCTGAAAACCGCTTATCTTTTACAAGAAGGATAACATAAGCTTATTAGTGCTTAAAGTGTAAACTTTGAACAACGAACGATCAGGAACTGTGACGTGATCGGTTCTCATCAGATGACTACATTTTACAATACTAGAAGTAACCTACTTGTTGATCCTGCATCAAATTTAGGCGAGTAAATGTGACTTATTTGCGCTGCACATTTTTCTATTTCGAGAGTAATACAATAAAAACCACATGTGACATTTGGTAACTTTTGCTTCGTTCAGTTTGCAACAAGACGTTCAAGGATGTGTGTGAATAGGAGGGGGGTGGGGGCAAATTTTCTTGGCAGAGATATAGTTATTTGAATTCCACACTAGAAGAACTGATTAGATTCGGAGTTTACCTTTAACTCTCTTGCTGGCCATGTTCCACCCACAATGGTGGATTTCCAACTTCTTTGGCAAGGGTTCTTCGTGACGGATAATGTAACAATCCGCCGCGCTCATATTGTCTGAAATCAGTTTGAAAGGTTTGTTTGTTATGAATTTCGCGCAAAGCTACACGAGGGCAGTTTGAAAAAAGCGTGGAAGTCACTTGAGTTACCTATTTTTGGGCAGAAAAACCAACGGATTTTAATTCGATTAAGTATCTTTGGGATCAACTGGAACGTTGCATTCGCCACTGTTATCTTTTCTCGACGTCTATAACCCAGTTGCAGACCATAGTCTTCCACAGTCTGGTGGAGATGTCGGTGCTTGATCGCGAGAAGGTTGAACAAATTTGAAAATTTTGAAGAGTTAGAGCAAAATAGGTGTTATAAATAAGAATAATGTAAAGTTGATTTTTTGTTTGAAGTTAAGCACAAAGCTACACAATGGACTATCTGTGCTCTGCCCACCACGGGTATCGAAAACCGGATTCTAGCGTTGTAAGTCTGCAGACATACCGCTGTGCCACTGGGGTGCAGAAAAAGAAGTAATAATAAAATACGTCTGCTATACAAAATATATAATTTTTAGTGAACAAGCCCGGCATGACAGGTGGTTAGGGGGCTTGACTCGCAATCTGCCAATCTGCGGGTTTGAATTCCCATACCACCAAAAATGCTCGCCTTTTCAGCTATGTGGGCGTTATAATGTGTCGATTAGTCCCACTATTCGTTGGTAAAAGAGAAGCCTAAGAGTTGGCGGTGGATGGTGATGACTAGTTGCCTTTCCTCTAGTGTTACACTACTAAATTAGGGACGGCTAGCGCAGATATCCCTCGTGTAGCTTTGTGCGAAATTCAAAACAAACAATTTAGTGAAAAGTGCAGTATTGTGTCTACACAAGTGCCGGGAATGTCAAAAATGTCATTTTCAAAAGTATTGTTCATATTGTGCTTCATGCTGAACAATAATACTCTAACCACTGTATAACGTCAACGTTTTGAAAAGTAGATGACAATCTTAAAACAGTAAAACCTACTGATAAGTACCTTAGAGCATCAATTTCACTGGTTATGAATAGGCTGAAAAGATATGTTGTTTCAACTTTCAGAGAAAGGGTGAATCACAGCTCGTTAAATTATACAAAAATTCAGTGACCTTTGTGATCTGTCGTTGTTCTTTTATATGATGTGAACAACTGCAAAGTGTTATGGTTTAATAGCAAATAACACAGCCTAAGTGTTTGCTACTACTCAAGTGTTGATTTTTTCTTAAACAAAGAGGACCGCACTGGATTTCTTTATGTGATAATTTATTTAATCCAGTTAAAATTATGAAAACCAACAAGCGTTTAAAACTCTTTTTTTGTTGTAAAATGA